CCTAATATTCAAATCAAGAAGATATTCAGGGTTGCCCAAGTTTGTGGCGCTGTATCCTCTGCTCGTGGTATTTTTAATGGTCCGTGAGTTTACTGTATTTCTGAACATTGAACAAGTAATTTCATTCATCCACAAAGAACTGGAGGTCCCAAATTCTAACAGGTCCAGAAGTAAAAGAATTGAATTCATTTATACTTTGCTTCATGGGAAGGAAAGGAATGCTGTCTATCCCGTCATTTCCAGTGGTGCATGCAATAGCTGTCGCTTCACTGGCATTTAGCTTTGCTCAGTGATGATACATCAGTGCTTAGTACTATCAGAAGTACCAGTTTGTGACCTATAATTAAGAGTAATAGCAGCCATGAAATGTGGCATCTAAGGTATAAGGGCTTCTGGGCAGCTATTTCGAAGCCCAGCTCTGGTTCTAACAATAGAATAGAATAGAATGGAATAGATAGAATAGGAATACTTTATTGGCCAAGTGTGATTGGACACACAAGGAATTTGTCTCGGTGCAGATGCTCTCAGTGTACATAAAAGAAAAGATACACTCATCAAGAGTCAAGAATCATAAGGTACGGCACTTAATGATAGTCATAGGGTACAGTAAGCAATCAAATCATACTAGGAAACAGTCAATATAGATCGTAAGGATACAAGTGACAAAGTTACAGTCCTACAATCACTAATGGGAGGGGATGGGTGATAAGGAGTGATGAGAAGATTAACAGTAATAGTAGTGCAGACTTTGTAATAGTTGAACAGGGTTGAGGGAATTATTTATTTAGCAGAGTGATGGCTTTCAGGGAAAAACTCTCCTTGTGTCTAGTTGTTCTGGTGTGCAGTGCTCTATAGCATCGTTTTGAGGAAAGGAGTTGAAACAATTTATGTCCAAGATGTGAGGGGTCTGTAAATATTTTCACAGACTTCTTTTTGACTCGTGCAGTATACAGGTCATTGATGGAAGGGAGGTTGGTAGTAATTGTTTTTTCTCCTAATTACCCTCTGAAGTCTGTGTCTGTCCTGTTGGGTTGCAGAACCAAACCAGACAGTTATAGAAGTGCAGATGATAGACTCAATAATTCCTCTGCAGAACTGGATCAGCAGCTCCTTGGGCAGTTTGAGCTTTCTGAGTTGGCGCAGAAAGAACATTCTTTGTTGTGCTTTTTGGATGATGTTTTTGATGTTAGGTGTCCATTTTAGGTCATGTGATATAGTAGAACCTAGACATTTTAAGGTCTCTACTGTTGATACTCTGTTGACTGGTATTGTAACAAAGTGTCACAGCAGAAGAGACTTCCTGGAAATGGCCATGGAGGTACAGTTCTGTTTACTTCTGCAGCTTAATTAAATAATTGTAACAGAATTGCATCATTTTCTGGAACAAATCTATGATTGCTTAAAAAGAAGGCATTCAACTAGGTTAGTTAGTCTTTCCCAATCTTAGAATTATAACTCCAAGAATTCTTAGCTGGAAGAGCCATGAACTGGGAATTTTGGAAATCTTCATCTCAACATTTCTAGAAGGTACTAGATTGGGAAAGGTTGCTTGCACTCCCACAAGTGGAAGCAATTGCCTATTACAACCATTTTCTATGTGGAGGCTGTTTGTTCTATTGTCCCTCTTGTCCAACCATGATTCTTATTCTGAGCAAGCAGGTTACATGCAGATATTCTTCCCATCTGGAAAAATAGAATTTTTTAGTGGGAGAAAGAATTCCATGCCATTTCCTTACAAAAGTTTTGGGAAGTGCTACAACTGGTGGCTGTGGTTTGCCACCATTTATTCTGGGATATTGTCCAGTGATGCGATATCACCCTAATCTCAGCCATCATCTGGCTTTAAAAGGGAAACGTGATTTACAGTGTGTACGGGCAGGCATGTTGCATAAGATGGCACCTTCTCGGTCAAACATATTTTCCGGGGATTGTGGGATGCCCAGTAAAATTAAAAACTCCTTTAAAAAGCCTGGAGATGCAACATGGATGTCAAGAAACACTTTTTCGTTTCTATATTCAAACTGTTGCACATTCCTACCAGCCATTGGGAAAAACATGCATGTTTTAATGTCAACCTGTTTTCCTTTAGGATAAACCACGATGCATTCCGGGTTCCAGCTGACATCCCAGAGGCGCATTGTCTGTGCGCAGGGTGCATCAATCCCTTCACCATGCAGGAGGACCGCACCATGGTCAGCATTCCTATCTATAGCAAAATCCCAGTGAGACGTATGCTGTGTGAGCCCAGCAAGCCTCACAGGAAGAAGAAAAAGTGCCACAAAGAGTACAAGATGATTATGGAGACCATTGCTGTGGGCTGCACTTGCATCTTCTGAGGACCCAGGAGGAAGGGGCTTCCTGTTCTTATGGAAGAAGTACTATTTTTGCTCTTCCAAACTGCTCTGTTCTTCTTTTGCCAAATGAGAAAACACCAATGTACTTTTAGACATTGAAGTAACTTGCGCTTGACTGGGCCGAGGTCATGGTTAGAGTGCAGTACTGCAGGCTACTTCTGCTGACTGCCAGTTGCCCGCAATTTGGCACTTTGAATCTCATCAGGCTCAAGGTTGGCTCAGCCTTCCATCCTTCTGAGGTGGGTAAAATGAGGATGCAGATTACTGAGGGGCAATATGCTGGCTCTGTAAACCGCTTAGAGAGGGATGTAAAGCACTCTGAAGCTGTATATAAGTCTTAGTGCTATTGCTATTGCTCAGCTCCCATCTCTGCATTACCTTCAAGAAGGCTGGCAAGGTATATCCAGCAGGCAAATTACTCATTAACGCTTTAGGTCCAGTTTAAACCATTCAAGCTACTCCCTCACTTAAAAAGCACTTGCTATGATGCTATAGCCACAGTTCCCATTTCCATCCTCCCTCCCTTAATCTGGCATCCTTGTTTGCTAAGGGATATAGATAAAAAAAACAGAAGGGAGATAATTGGTTAAAATGTGTATCTATTTTCAGGTTTTCATTCAGACTGTGACAATTTAGTGTATAAAGTTGAGTTTGGACTGAACCTTTAGAGATGAATCAATATAGAGATCAGTATGTCATTGCCTGTATGTGTGTTCAAGTTAGTCTTTAACTCCTGGCAACTCCCTGGACAATTCCATGCAGTTTTTCTTGGGAAGATTTTCATAAGTGGGTTTGCCATTACATTATTCCCAGGGCTGAGAGAGTAACTGGCTCAAGGTCATCCAGTCGGCTTCATACATTCAAAAAAAAAAACACCTTTCAGATCACCCTTCTCAGATATAGAACACTTCAGCATAACTAACTAGCTGGGTTCACACTTTGTAGAGTTCATATGTCTGATTACCAAGCCATACTTGGATTGGGTCCACACGAAACATAGGCCCAAATCCACTATGGCTAGCACAATGAGAACCTACTCAACAGTTTAAAAGTTAGAGTGCCCCCTTGTCTCTCAAGCCATAGCAGAAAACAAGTCTAAGTGTTGAGCAATGGAGGAAAGTTGTGCAATGGAAAAGCTCTTTAAATCAAGATTGTTTGCCAGGCTACTATCCACCTTATGGGACACTATCAATGAAGTCTTATCTAAATACCAGCAGCCCCTGTGCTCAAAGTTCTGACAATAGGAGTTGGATGTCAGCAGGAAGCTAGAGGAACATTAAGGGTGATATTCGTACCAAGAGTTAGACTGAGGAGGCAGCAAGAGAGCCCAAGAAATCTTTCCTGCCTATATACTATACATGGTGATGGATCAAGTATCTGTAATAACTTCTTTTAATACCCTCTCCTTCACAATGGATAGGAATCACAGCTCAGGGGCTGAACACATAGTCTTTTTGCAGAAGGGCCCAGATTCAAACCCTGCACTGGGGGTTCTCCAATAGCAGGACCGGGAAACATTCTGACGTGGGATAAGCAGCTGAAGAACTGCTATAATACAGAGAAAGCACCCGTGCCGCATCAGTGTTCTATAGAAAGAAAGCTTTCCATTATTCAAGCCTTTATCCAACATGGTTTGGTCCACAGGAAGAGGAGGGCGAGCCTAATCCTTGGGTTCTGTATATAAATCTAAGAAAGATTCCCGTTTGAATCCTAGGTGAGTTGTTTCCCAGAAACAATTTGTCATGGATGGAATGCAGCACCATTATGGCTCTGAAGCAACAGAGCAAAATAAAGGGAAGTTACCCAATCAAATGCCGAGAAGTACTGATATAATTGCTAAGCAGCTGGCTTTTGTACCTGCCAAGCCCCTGCTGCACCTTTCTTTTTAATTATTTTTGTTAAGTCAAAATGTGGGCATACTTCCAGGTTCATCTCGTGTGGGGCCCAGAGCCATTAATCACAAAAATCTCCTGAGGCCTTTCTGAACATTACATATGATAGCTGCAGTCTAGTACTTCGTTTAGAAGTCCATGCATCTACTCAGATGACTGGGAACAAGTTTCTCAGTTCACCCCGACCAAGGAATATTTTGAATCCAGCCACACCGACTGCAGCAACCATTTCATGAGAACACTCACAATATGCCAGCATTCCAGATCTGCCAACCTGCTGCAAACAGTTTGCTATGCTTGATCTAAGATTTTGTCTATCTGCCAGAATGTCACAACTTCAGAAAAAACAAGATAACTTTTATTTTCATTTTCTCAGTTCCTTCCCAGCCAGCTAAAGGCTATGACTCAAGGCACAGTGAAATATCTCATTAGAGGCTAGCTGGGCCTACTACACCTATCTAGCTGCTTGATCATAAAGCGTACTGCTCATCTGATTCTGCAAATATGTCATTGATTTAACAAAATTCATTAAAGAAGACCTTCTTATCAATATCCACCCTGTACACAACTGAAAGGGTAACAATTGAAACCAATCCGTTTCTAGGAAGAAAGATAGGGAACCTCACCGTTTCATTGCATCTGGAATGAGCAAAAACAAGTTACCCCTTTGCCCTACACAGCTGATGCAGGACAGCCCAGTTTCATTAGCAGCAAGTAGCAAATATTCAACCCCGGATTCACAGACCCTTTTTAAAAGGTTTACTGGAGCAGCCTGACCAGTAGGGTACTGTGGAATCTACTCAGGAAAATACCAGAATGTTAGTTCGGTGGTTTCACCTGGTTTAGGCAACAAGGATTTTTTTTAAAAAAAAATCAAATGCCAGAGGAAAGAATTCCTTAATTTATTTCCAGGAAAAAGGCCCGTGGGATGGCTGGCAAGACAACTTCAGATCAACCATTAATTGTGCATGTATGTTTATCTGGATAGTAGGTAAAAAGTTATATGATTCATTAAGCTGCTTAGCTTTTCTCGCAGGAAACATTCCAACACAAGGTCCTTTGCTTCACCATCATTTGATCTAAATCCATAGGGCTTTGTAATAAACATAAGGGAATACAGTGCTTGGGATGCCAGGAAAACCAAGAAATCATAAAAGTTCTTATGATCCTACACGTGCCATTTCTTTTAGCTTTAGGGATGAAGTACAAGAAGAAGGTCCAGTCCAGTATAAATTATTTGGGAAGGCTGCAGAGGAAGACCCAAGAAGGAAGTTTGAATCCAAAGTTGTAGCCTGTTTGGTAATATACACAATTGGGCTTTATGAATATGATTCAGCAGGTAAAGTAAAAAGTCAAATGGGATTTGACACTATTCAGTTTCAATCCTCTTCCATGATTACCAAGGAATCCTGAACAACTAGGAAGAGGCATTAATTTACAGGCTCTCTGAAAGAGTGATGCTATGCTAAAGAGATTGCCATGACTCTGATTGAACGTATAAAGTCACAGATTTGCCAGTGCTCTGCTTTACTTCTATTAAATTTGCAGTACATTCCTTAACTTAGAGGATTTGGGGGATGGGTGGGACTGCAAATCTCAGCATCTCTTACTAGACTGATTGGGAATTCTGAATGCTGCAATCCAATATAACTGGAACACAGCAAGTCAAGGAATGGCACTTAGTAGCCTCAAATATCCCCTCTCACTCTGCCTGCAATAAAATCTTGTCTCACGGTGCTAAGTTCACAGCTCAGTCTTCAATTTGTGCATTAAGTCTTTCTGGTCTATTTTCTCTACATCATGATTCCACCGATTGTAGGCTAAGAGAGCCACATTTCTGGCTGCCACAGCAGACATTTCCATGGAGCTGGCTGCCCACTCCATGGTGTTGAGGTAGAAGAGGCTGTCATGCAGGATAATAGGTGGGAGGTTCTTGACTGATCCGTAATCAGGACAGACCTGCCATTCCGTCACCTGAACAGAATAATAAGAACGGAACAGCATCTTCAACTCTTGCTTCTCCAAAGGATACTGAGAGTGGACTCGCCACACAGCAGCTTCCTGGGGCTGCTTCCGCTTGAAGTTATTAGATAAGTTGACGGGGCAAATGTTATCCATGGAATTGAAGAAGAGGCCCGGAGCTTCTGTGGTGAGGACACTGGCAAAAGGAAAAAGCTTGGGATCCGGGAAGCCAAAGTATGAGGAGTTGAGGTAGCCATGAACAATGGAGGTGACGGTGATGTGAAAAGTTCCAGGAAACTCAGCAATAGGTGGATCAAAATTCTGAAAGGTGATATTGTTCTTGCTATCATGTAATTGAGTGGCAATGACCACTATGTCATAGAAGTTGGAACCTGGACCGTCTTCATTTTCATAGTGCACTTGGTAGAGGGGTTTTCCTTCTGGATAAAAATGCACAGGGAACAAACAGGGGAAAATACACCAGTAAGTCAGACAGCTACCAAGCAAGTCACCATCATTATCTAAGAAGCTAAATAGACTAGACTTCAAAGAGAAACAATTCTGGTAAGACCTGGTAGTTTGCACTGTTTCTTGGTTGATTCCGTTTTTTTCTGCAGCTCACTCACTGCCTGTTGGTTTTATTTTTGAAGACTAACACTTGGTTACTTAAACCAGCTAAAATAAGCATTCACACAACCCATAAAAGTAACAGATAGGAACTGGTCAAAGAGCATAGAGAGGATTTACCTGACTGGTCACAAATAAGGGAAAGTTTACTGTAGTTTTTGACTTATTTTCACTTTGGTAAATGAAGATAATTGGGTTAAGCTGTGTACATTTGCTGTCATTACAGTTTGGGATATTCCATTCAAAAACTATATATTTTATCTAGGAAGCTAGATGATGCTGAACAGTTTAGCAAGCACAAATCAAGTCACAATGACCTAAAATGGTATAGCAGCAAGACAGAGGATAACTTTCTGCAGAACACTACAAACACTATTAAAGTAATATACAACAAAAAAGTCAGGCAACTTTGTGCTATCCAGCATTTAGGAGAAACAGCTGTTATAAGGAACCTTAGTACGAACACTCTCTCTCTCAACTGCAAGTCAAAATGCACATTTATCTAGATGCTTTTAGGAAGAAAAATATATGCCAATTATATTCTGTGTTGAAACTGGGTTTATTTGTTCAGGAGTAGCATATTTTTTTCTACATTTATTTTCTTTAAAATTTCAGTATCCCTCCAAACTGTTAAATGTAGAATTCTTATAATAAAATTATATACTAAGATGTTTATATTGTAAAGTTTAATATCTTGGGTATTCAGTGGTATGTGATTGAATTTATTTTAAGTGTTAAAATCTTATTTAATACAATACTTTATGAAGAAATAATATAGAAAGAAAGTTGTTTCTAGCCAGAGGTACATCACCCCAGCAACTGATCCACAGGATGGTAGTTTATTTATGACATGGATCACCAATATTTCTTTTTCCATTTTCTATATATTATATACACACTTGTTATCCATTTTTATTTTCTTCACCCTCTTTTTATTCTTTCTACCTGAAAATTGTCTCTCTCTCCTTGCATAGTTTTCTGCTCCTCTTCCTTATAAGGGAGCACACAAGTTAATCCCTCGTTTGTTTTAGTAGAATGCAAGGAATTTGCCATTTCATTACATCTTCTCTTAAAGAATCACGTTTGCTTAACTGGTTACGCTTTGAGTGATCACAGCAACAATAAATACCCCATGTACAGGAAACATCATCTTTTCTTAGGAAAAAAAAAGTTAAGACTGTGAACACTTAGGAAATTTCAGTTGTCTCTGTGCAATAAATATGCCAACCTTTAAAGCACGTGAAAGGAGAGGAAGTCATCTGAACATTCCTTCAGTAGAAGGATCCTTAACTGTGTTGTGTCCTGCCTACTTCTCTGCATGCATCAATGGATTCTTTATGTCAAAGGTATTTAGGTGGCTTCCAATGTGCAATTATCCAGAATTCTTTAAAGCAGATCCAGAGGATAGTAATTTCTGTCTATAACCTTCCTGCATTTTTTTAGTACTTTCATCCCCTCCCCACTTTCTCTCAGTTGGAGCCTGGGTTCCTCCCACTAGCACAGTGGTGTCAAACTCACAGCTTCACATTGTCATCGTGTGACATATCATGACTCTCCCCCACCCCTTGCTAAACTGGGGATGGGCATGGCCAGTGCGTGATTGCATCCCAGCCCGTAGGCCGTGAGTTTGACAGCCCTCCTCTAATGGGTAGTCCTCCATTTACAACAATTTATTTAGTGACTGTTTGAAGTTTCCACAGCCCTGAAAAAAGTGACTTGGTGACCATTTTTCACACTTACAACCACTGCAGCATCCCCATGGTCACATGATTGAAATTCAGACGCTTGGCAACCGACTCGTATTTATGATGGTTGCAGTGTCCCAAGGTCATGGGATGATCTTTTGAGAACTTCTGACAAGCAAACTCAGTGGGGAAGCCAGATTCATTCAACAACTGTGTTCATAACTTAACAACTGAAATGATTTTTATTTAACATTTCCAGCAGGAAAGGTCGTAAAATGGGACAAAATTCCTTGAACAATTGTCTCGCTTAGCAACACACATTTTGGGGCTCAATTGTGGTCATAAGTCAAGGACTACCTGTAGTTGTAGCTAATAGTTTGGGGGGGTAGTGGTGGTGGTGATTTTTTTATTTATTTATTTTTCCAGCTTTTGTTCTATTGTACTTTATTAATTTATTTGATTCTTTTTGTTAGTTTTTTTGTTTTTTGTTTTATTTTAGGTATGGTTTTATATTCTGTAAGCCGCCTCGAGTTGCCATTGGGTGAATAGGCGGCGACATAAATTCAATAAATAAATAAATAAATAAATAAAGCAAGCTTTAAAAAGAAGAAACTCCTTTCCTTATTGCATTAAAGTAGCTATATACTATGGAAGACTCAGCAGCCTCAGACAGTGGTTTGCACACAACACATGTACAAGTACAGACATTTCCCCTGGGCCTGCAGAAAACTGGAACAGCCAGCTGTGTACAAACCGATATCCACAACAACTGGGGAAATCTGCAAAGCAGCCACACTGACTTTTCCTAAAGATATGGCTCTGGTAGCTTTGAAGAGGGGCATCCAGCTCATGCTAACCTGCTTTGTGACACTTTGGTTCGAAGGCTTTGTTCTCTTAAGTAGGTCTCTTCCTATCATGTAGTACAGTATCCGGTCAATATTTATTATATGTACTGTATATCTCCGGATACACAATATCTGAATGCCGAGATTAAACCAGAGGGGATATTGCGTGAATCCAATGAACCATGGGTATGTGTGTTTGCTCCTTGCCACCACTCAGTAAAGGCACTCTCAGAAATGTTGGGGTTTTTTTTTCTGAAGAACCTTCCCTGAAAAGCAAAAAAAAAAAGACTCTGGAGGTGATGAATTAGATAGAGGTGTGAGAGAATGAAAACACATTACATTTCCTTCCATTAAGTCCTAGGGTTGGGTCATCTCTTCTGCTACAATTCTCTCACAGAATCTCTAACTAATCATTTATCCAGTGTGCAGCACCTCCACATTAAAAGCCGGGTGCCACTTCTTTCTAAATTGCTTTCAAAATTCAGTCCTCCGGATCTGAAGTGCACCCATATGAATGGGGAAACCTTGTCTTGCACAAGACCAATCGTTCATCCCAGCAGGTTTACTTGGTCTGCAGCAGCTCTTTAAAATCTCCAGCCCCCGCTACACGGAGATTTTGGGATCTTATTTTCCACCTTGGACGAAGATGGGATTGTGTGGCATACCTGAACTGTGCAGAGAGATAGCTGTCACCCTGGCATGGATTATGTTGGCTTTGGTTAGCTTCAGCAAGCCTGAGCACACCAGCTTGTTGCCGCCTTCGACTGCCCATCGGTTGCCCTGTGCTCCTGCTAGCAACATGGCCCCTTAAAAAAGAAGTACAGAGGGGACTGCTGTCAAAGAGAATAAACAAGCCAAATGGTAAAACATTAGCCTTCCCTACGACATATTTGTCTCCCAGACATGAGCAATGGCCTACTGAAAAAAGACTGGAGCCATAGAAGATGGGTAGTACTCACCTGCAAATGCAGGCACCAGTACTGACTGGCCATAGTTGGCCCGGAGGATGGCCATGATGACGTCATCGATGAAGCGTTGTGTGACACCCACCTCCAGCAGGGACTCCACCACAGAGCGTTGCGTCATGTTGACAAAGGTGTCACCCCCCAGTGAACGCAAGAGCTCCTCAAGATGAGAAAATGCATAGCCATGGGCCTGATACTTGTAAATTCTGCAGGTCATAAAAAGGGCAGGAAAATGTAGAGCATTATCGCAATCTTACTAGCAAAAGATTTTACAAGGCAGAGTGCGATTCCTCCTTCTCTCACTTTGTGTGCATTCAGGAGGGGCTTGTCTTAGAAGTGTTCTTAAATTAATTCCGTGGCCCAGACTCAAGTCCAACTTAGCTGACCGCTGCCAACTTAGTGGCTCTTACTCCTGCCCTTAAAGGCCATTCCTTATGAGCTTTACAAGAAGTCTCAAGAATCTCCTTTAATACTACATTGCCATCATCTGGATAGAAGCACATTTGAGCGAAGGAAGATTGTCCCATTTTTCTCTCACTGCCCTGGGAGGCACCAGTGATGCCTCTTTGTTACCTACCTCATGAACTTCTCCATTACTTCTTCTACCCACATTTGTAGACGCAGAAAGCTCATGCCATAATGCCACCAGAGCCGAAAAAGGTTGAGTAGGTACCAGTCTGTCTCCTCAAGGACAAATTGTTCCCCAGTGAAGATGGCACTCTTTCCTGCCACTTCTCGGCGGTGTTTCAGTCCTATAGAACAGAAAACAAGGTCCAGTAAGAACAGAAAACAAGGTCCAGTTTTTACCATGATGGGCTTTGCAAGAGAGTTGACCTTCTTGATCTCTTTTGCTGTCTCCTTCTAACTTGCATTAATTCTGAGAAATCTTTCTCAGTCATGATTTTAATAGAGTTTCTCATTTGTTATCACACTCATTCATGCTTTTCCCATTTTGGCACTGCAGGGTTCCCATGAGTGGCTGGATTTTGTTACCCCCAAAACAAACAAACATCTGCTTCACCTTCATCCACACCAGCGGGTTGAATCTTAAAAAGCAGCGAAGACTGCTTAAGAAAATAAAGACAATCCCCAAATTTATTTAAAAGTAAAAACAACTTGGGTTTCTGCTGGACTCTGACATAACAATGTCTAGAATTAACTTGTCTGGATGGCATATTGTCTCCTTTCCCCTTCAGCCCAAATCATACACTGAGACCTGTGTCAGTCAATCTGTGAAAACCCAACTTTTAGCTCACAATGTTGTTGCTAAAGGGAAAAAAGAGAGGAGGGAGCCCTGTATATGCTTCCTTGAGTGCGAGTAAAAGGGAGGAGTCTAAGTTCCATAAATTGTATAATATCACAGGATTGATTGCCCATTTTCAGTTTTGTGTCAAGGCAGATTTAATAATTTGATGTTGTTACAATTAATACATTATATTAAGTATAATACATTAGTGTACATTTCATTATAGTTACATTCCTCTGAAGGAGTGGAAAGGCTCAGTTGAAGATGGCATATATTGATTTATCAAATTTATGGAGTTTCCTATCTCTACTCTGGGTAGTGCACAACAATCAAAGACAGCAACAGATATAAAAAACATATTATATTTTAAACCTATTATATTCTAAAAATATAAAAATCCATATTAAAAAACAAAGTTTGTAAAAAAAAACCAAAAACATAAACTCTAGGTGAAGGGAAAATAAGAATGGCTACCTCAACTTTGGAACCATGTAAGCATGTTATATGAGGATTCCCTTCAGTTTAGATTCTCAAAGTCCACCAGAAGGTTGGGCTAAGAAAAGGAACTGGTCCAAAGTCACTCAATGAGGTCCATGTTATATGGAGGTTTGACCCTGGCTTTCCCTCAACTCAGTTCAGCACTGCTTTATATCAAACACATTGTCACGATGTGTATATATACATATATATGTTTTCTTAAGTTTTCGCAGGTACTTACATGTATGGCATTCAGCTTTGTTCGGGTATTTTTCCACGTCATTGTAGTTGTGCTTTTAAAGTTGTAGCAACGTTTCGGCAGAATCTCATCTGCCATCATCAGGCTTCTGTATAGTGTTCATCTGTGAGTCAGACTTACAGTGGTTTCAGATTTAAATTTGGGGCAGCCTATTGCTGTGCCAGAATGGTTTTTTCTTCATCCTGATTGGTTGGGAGTCTTGGTCTGTGTTTATTGGTCTTGGAGTTTGCTACAACTTTAAAAGCACAACTACAATGATGTGGGAAAATACCCAAACAAAGCTGAATGCCATACATACATATGTATGTACATATGTACGTATGTACACACACACACATACACACACATATATGAATTATCTTAGGGGGAAAAATCCTTCTGAATTGGAATCTCCCCCAAATAGTCCAATTGTATTCCAAAAGGACAAATGGGAATGGAATGGAACGTTTGGGCAGGAAATGACACCTGAATAGAAGTGAGTGAGCTCCGTTGTATCAGAACAATGATTGCTGATTCCTGATCTCATCTATCTACCGTATCTGAGGAACCAAAGATCTGCCATATCACCCAAGCTCAGAGGCAATAAAAAGATATGCAGAAACCAAGCTTGAAGTTCATACATCTATGGTCAATCACTCTTACCCAATTGCTGCACAAAGTCCTCCATGTGTAAGTTGAGAGAATGGAAGAAGGCCCCTCCACTTTCGTAGGACTGCTTGTTGACTGTAACTGTGGCCAGGCGACCTCCCACCACAGCCTTTTCATATACATCCAGCTGTACCTGCGGCCCAAACTGCTGCTGCAGGAAATAAGCCACTGATGAGCCGCCAATTCCAGCTCCCACCACAGCTGCCAAAGCAAAGCAAGTGTGTTAAGAACCATCATAAAAAGATCCACCTTCAACCAATAGATATAGTTTCCCAGGAAGAGGATTGCTCAAACCACATCTCTGACTAATAGCAGGGATATAATAAATTAATAAAAAGAGAGCCAGTTTGCTCTAGTGCCAATGGTGGCGAACCTATGGCATGTGTGCCGGAAGTGGCATGCACAGCCATTACTGCCGGCACGTGAGCCCTTGCCCAGAAAAGGTCTACTGCGCATGCATATGCACCAGCTGATTGTTGGGTATCTGGCACGCATGCGTGTCAGCACGGAGGTGCACGGGAGACATGTGCTCATGCGCTGAAGTGTATGACGCATGGGGGTCATGCACGCATGTGCAAAAGCCCACAGCGTGGTCATGCAGGTTGCACACGCATGCACAAAAGCACACAGTGCGGATCGCACGGGTTGCACGCACAGGGGGGTATGGGGGGCTGCACGCATTGCCTTCTGGATGATGGCACGCAAGCGTGAGAGCACAAGCCTGCACGCAATTATCAGCACAGCAGCCCACAAAGGTTAGCCACCACTGCTCTAGTGCTTCAGACACCAGGAAAGAAAGCAGGAAACTGAAGTTGCAGTCCTGCCTTAGGCATGAAAACCAGCTGAGTGACTTCGGGGCAGTCACTCTCCCAAGCCCAACCCACCTCATAGCGTTGTTCTTGTGGGGAAAAATAGAGGAAGAAGGAGTACTGTGTGTGGGTTTGCCACTCTGAGTTCTTTATAAAAAGTAATAAAGGTGGGATATAAAAAAAGAATAAAACGGTTTTTCTGGCTAAGTCTGAGCCGTGGCGGCACAGTAGTCAGAATGCAGTACAATTCTCACTGGCTCAAGCCTTCCATCCTTCTGAGGTTGGTAAAATGAGGAGCCAGATTGTTGGGGGCAATATGCTGCCTCTGTAAACCGCTTACTGAGACAGCTGGAAAGCCCTATGAAGCGGTATAAAAATCTAAGTGCTATTGCTATTGCTATTCCAATCGAGCTTCAAAACTGGTATCTCACACCATTTCATGGCTAGGCCAGCCTTCCTCAACCTCTCAGTGTGTTGGGACTGTCATTCTGAATTTCTAAGCCAAGTCAGCCAATGGCTGAGACTTCTGGGTAGAGTAGATCCAGTGTACCTAGCCTCTCTCATAAAAGAAGCAGGGAGAAAATATACACACCGACCCTGCCATTGGGCTGGCTTGGCTTTTTTCATTTTGTTTTTAAAGAGCATCGCCGGAGAAATTTCAAAGCACGTGTCGGAAACACGACTACTCCAGGCCACTAAAACGCCAAACCTAGAACCCAGATCAGCTCCCTTTTCATCCCTCATCGCTTGCTTTTACGTTCGTATTTCCCCAGCGCCAATGCGGGAAGCTCCAGGCTGCAGAAGCCCACCTTACGGGGGGGGCCTGGTGGCGGTGGGTGGCGAACGGGAAGCCGCGAACTGCCCGCTGCCATGAAAGAGCAACGCCTACCTATTTTGCTCGGCGGAGCTGCATCCCCTGCCGCAACGAAGGAAAGCTCCGTTCTCATCCCCCCTACAGCTACGGTAAGGAACAAAAGGCACCGGGCGGGAGAAGGCGGCTGAACAAACTCTGCCGTCATGGTGGCAACGGGGAGACAAGAGGGGAGGCGGCGGCGGCGGCGGCTGCAAAAGCGAGAAAGCGCCGCTGAACGGCGGAAACCAGCCCTGCCTCCCCCGGATGCTTCTGCCGCAGCGGCCGGCGACTACGCAGCTTTCTGGCCCGCGCGCTTCCTGAGGTATTTTTTGGGGGGTGGGGTGGGGCGGAGGGTGTCGGGTGGAGACGCAGCGGATCGTCGGGCTGCGCCTCCCGCGGCCTTTCTGACCTTGGCGGGGCGGATCGCAGGCAGCGACGGCGAACGAGGCAACCTCTATTAATATAAAAGGGGGGAGTCCTTTGCTTAAGCGGAGGAGGTCGCCTCTTCTGGCTCGCTCCAGCGCGAGCGCCCCTTGCAGGAAGGCCTGAAATGCCAAGTTGGTGAGATGCGCTTTCAAACCCGCAGCTCCGAAATTCAAGTTTTCTGACAAGAGTCGCTTTCGGAAGCCACCACCTCAATCAGTAGGTTGCAAAAGCCCTGTTTTCCCGGCCCTGTAATCTTGTGCTGCTTTCCCAGGTTAACCTGAACTGAGCCCTTTGGAGTGAAATATCCATGGTGTTTTCTGTATTGTTTCTCCGTGTCGTATATGTGGGTATATCCATAATTTATTGATTTAGTCAGGTTTATGTAGTGTGTATTAGAGGCGGAGAGACCCTTTGAGAGCTGAAATTCCATGTTAATGTATGCCAATTAATGTACATTCAAAATGACAATAAAGTTATTCTAATTCTAAAGGTAATCCTGGGGAAAGGGGTGTGTGTGTGTTTTGGGATTGCACTACAGAGACGCAACTCTCCAGGAAGCGACTTTGAGTCTGAAAGGGAAGAGAGAGACCTCTTCTTCTGGCTCCGAAGATTTTCCTGCAATGGTGCATTAGGTCAGGTAGTACTTGAACAGAATAAGAATAGGAATAGGAATAGGAATGGAATAGAATAGAATTCTTTATTGGCCAAGTGTGGTTGGACACACAAGGAATTTATCTTGGTGCAAATGCTCTCAGTATATATAAAAGAAAAGATACTTTCGTCAAGAATCGTAAGATACAACACTCAATAGTAGTCATAGGGTACAATAAGCAATCAAATAATAAGCACCTGACTTGTTTTTCTTTTATTTAAATCCAGAATTTATCCAATGTAGAGCGCATTTTCCAGACAGACTGAAACAAGAAGTAGCCACTGTGTTCCCTTGACGTGGAAATCATAAAATTAGAAGTTTATAGTTCAATGCCATTGAACACCCCTCCCCCAAATGATAATTCACAACAGAACAGAATAATAGAGTTGGAAGGGTCTTCTAATCCAACCTCCATCCCAAGCAGGAAACCCTGTACCATTTCAGACAAGAGGCTGTCCAGTCTCTTCTTTGAGAAAACAGGTTAGCCTGCCATATCCACAGGTCACCCTAAACTTTAACTGAAATAGCTAAGTTGGATACCTGGATAATCGAGAGACTTATTTGTCTTGAATTGATTCTGCCTGCCCAATAAGTTCCAGCAGTGTGGATGTACTCCAGGTCCCCTCCATTGAACACTGCCATCTTGTGGGACTGAAGAAATATGTGTTTTCTGTTGTGGCCCTCTCCCTCCAGAACAGCATCCTCCCCCCCAGAGATAAAGATGGAGCCTGAGTCATGGTTATCCCAAAGTTGTTATTTTCAAAAGGCCTTCCATTTCCCACTATCCAGTCAGAGCTGAAGAAGCTTCTTGGATGAGAAGCAAAACATCTTCAAAGAAAAAGCAGAAAGTCTAGTTGCCTCTTGAAAAAAACACCTTTGGGATGTTCTCTCAAGGTTTTGGAAAGCTTTGAAAATTTGGCGTTGATCCCTGACTTGGAGTTGATATTTGCTATTTGTTTAATGACCCCTGCTATTAACTGTTTTTATACCTAGTTTAGTATTGTGCATTGCTTTAAAGTCTAGAGAAATTGGGCAGCCAATAAATTTAAATCAATTAAATAAATACAAATGGCTCTTATTTAATTAACAATTACTCATTCAGCAAGCATTGACTTACAAGGGGATTTCAGTGCTGAATGAAGGGTACTTACGATTAGCTCTCATACTTGTATGTCAGATGCAGGAGCATCGTGTTTACATTTGCTACCATCTTTTTGCTTCCTAGAAGCATGGTCAATGGAGAAGCCACAAAAGGTGGCATATGGCGGAGGTGGTATTCAGCTGGTACTGACCAGTTCTGAGAACCGATAGTGGAAATATTGAGTAGTTTGGAGAACTGGCAAATACCACCTCTGACTGGAGATTTTATAGTATCCTTCCCCTGCCACGCCCACCAAGTCACACCCACAGAACCAGTAATAAAAAAATTTGAATCCCACCACTGGCAAATGGCAACCAAATGTCTTGACATAACAATCCACAGTGATTTGCTTAATGGCAAATGTAAGTACCAGCATTTCTGTTACTAAGGCAGAGCAGTTACATGATATCTAACTACATGACATTTATGACCGCATAATTTAGCAACAGAAATTCTGGTCCCAATTGCTGTCATTAAGCGAGGACTACCTGTAGTAAGTTGAGTTAGAGCTGATTAGTACTTACACACGAGAGCTGGAAATTCGTAAAGCTGCATGAAATCCCAAAAACAGATGAAGCAATTCGCCCCTATGTTGCTGCAAAAACAGAACAAAACCCAGCATAGATATGGCCATGTGGTCACCAGAATTGAGCTTGACTCAAGAGATATTACACCAACTTTAAGTCTCCCATGCAAAGCCATCTAGCTAGGTATACTAGAGTGAATGGGCTAGATATGCACAACACACTGAACCACAATGTGCTGAACTAGAAATTAACCAAGCTTGTTCTGGCCACATACGACACAACCTGTACAGTTTATAGTTAGATGTTCATGTATCAAACTCCTAGATAAGTCTACTGGATGGACAAAGCCAGTAAGGAAGTGGGGGGCGGGGGATTAAGATCTCCCTCTGACACCATTAGGGCTTTTGCTTTTGTCCTGGAACTGGTTATTTTTTAAAAAAAATCAGGAAACTTATCTATATAATCACAAATTACAAAAACAGATTTATTTGTAAGCTGTTTTGTAGGATTTATATCTTGAAAAGTGGAATATAAGTAATCTCTATAGACACGTAGCTACGTGTATATATAGCCATGACTGTATTTCCTTTTAAGTAAACAACATTACACAAGTGCAAAAAAGGATGCATATAGATGAAGGCATTGCATAAGAAAAGGAAACTACATCTTATTTATAGCAGCAGCATTCACTGTTATGTCATTCTCTTGTCCATCCAACTTCCCTTTCTCCTCCTCTGTATATTCAGCTCACTTCCACAGAATTAAGTGGGCTAAAGTATGCTTTTATGCATGGTCATTTTTATTTTTTTGGAAGACATATCAAACCATATGCCATGCAGTCTCCTTCTGCCAGCATTTAAAAATGTATAGATTCATCATTTAAACAAGATACACAAATGTATCTCTTTGCTCTAATTTTTCACTGTTTACTCAATGACCTTGGTCTTCCATAAACTAATTTTCAGTTAGATGTTCCTAATTGCATCCAACTTTGGGCAGATCATTTGGGCTCTCAGCAAAGAGCACTGTGTTATCTGGATACCAAAGTACACACATATTTACTCCCGCAACCCACACACTTCAGATATCTCCACAAGCATTCCTGAATAAATGAAAGAATATCGCACAATGGTGCCTTACTCTGTTGAGCTATTTGCTAAACGTTCTCATGCATGCTTTCTTTTCAAGCACACTTCTTTCCATCATACTCCTTTCTTATCACAATCAGCAACCAACTTTTCCCTCCTTATTTGCACAAAGCATTCCACAATTCAAGCCCATTAATTTTATCACCCTTTTTTTCTCAATCAGCAATTATCCAGTTGTTTTCCTTCTCACACATACATACATTCAATTATGTTGAAAAACAGAAATCTGCCTGGCACCTCCCTATATAAAGCTGCCCTGAATTAACCTCTAGTTAAAACTTCTTTAGCTAAGGATCAAAGGAAACCCACTTTGTGCATCACATCTGAGCCAAATGCTCCTAACAACAGAAAAGCAGCTAACAAGCAATTTCTGAAAATGATTAGAAAAGTATGTGAACCCAGCAGTCTTTTAAAGGTGTGAGCCATGATTGGAGCAACATGGCTATTTCCTTCTCTCCCAATGTTCTAAACCAAGGGTCTTCAAACTTGGCAAGTGTAAGACTTATGGCCTTCAACTCCCAGAATTCCTGAGCTAACATGACTGGAGGAAGAATTCTGGAAGGTGAAGTCGACAAATCTTAAAGCTGTCAAGTTTGAAGACCCCTGCTCTAAACCCATCAAAGACCATCGACTTGGGCGCTTGTGTGCAATTTCAAATCCTCTCCTTGACCAAAGAGGTATGATGAAGAGCCAATCTATTTGCTGGTCCTTCGTTCCATTGCAGAGCAGTCTTCTGTTTACCATTTCTTCCCTAATGCCTTCATTTAAATTGTATTCACTCTGCTAAGACTCCTTCCCCCCACCACTTCCAAAACAATTCATTTTTATCAATATCATTGTGCATTTCTCTGCCCCTTGCTTTAGAATGGTTCTTTAATTACATTATTTGTAACTATCATTCTCTTAAGTGTATTTTCTCCTCCCCTTCCCATCCCAGTCATTCATGTTTCTTTCATACTTTGCACTGTGTTTACTCCATGCATTTCTCTGGCACTCCATAACGATTATTTTGCTTGTTCTAAACAACTTGTGCATGCGCATTCCCTACATCATGGGTGTCAAACTTGCAGCATCACATGCTGGAGTGGGATCCTACCGGCATAACAACTGGTTCAGTGAACGTGCGTGCATGCACACTATTTATAAATTACTGGCTCCAGCAAGCATTCACCTTCTGCTGAGGAGGGGCACTCGGCTGTGCCGCGCGAAGCAGCGGAGGAGGAAAAAGCAGGGAATAAAGCACAGCCTAGAGCCTGGGCAGACGAGTGGGCGAAACAGAAGATATTGTCGCAGTGAACCAGTTCAGTGTCAGCTGCTCTTAGGAGCTACCGGTTCTATAGAACCAGGCCGAACTGGTAGAATCCCACCCCTCGTCACATGATGTATCGCGGCTTTTCCCTTCGTGGAGTTGGGGTGGGCGTGGCCTGCGTGTGATGGACCTGGCCACAGGCCATCAGTTGGACACCCCCTGCCCTATGTCAATTCTGCTGGAAGACTAACAGTACCCCTATAAATTAATCTTGATTTCCGATGACTCCGTGACTTCATTTCCTAGCAACATTAAGGAAATGAGTTGTCAATCGCCTCCTTTCAGAGCCTTTGCCCAACGTCCCAATCTGGCTGACAACTGGAATTATTTTGACCTCCCACCCAAATATTCATGGTGTGTCCCTTCTTAGGTTTTGTATATCAATCAAGGGCAATTGGGTGCAATCACTTGCTGTTTCAATGAAATAAAAATAGCGGGATTAGAAGTATTGTCCTGTTTTTAGTAGATGCATTTAGTTTTCCTATGTAGAAATCCATTCTTTTTTTCCCCCTTTCCATCTCAGGCTATGTCATTGTATGGTTTGGGAGGGAGGGAGGGAGGGTCAGAAATATATGCCAAAGTATGGCAAATTTATATTATATCTGGATCTATCACATGGCTGACCAAAGGATTCAACTATTTCATTTCTTAACTTCATCACTTCTTTTGTTGTCACATAAGCAAATGGAGGCTGAAGCATTTTGCATTCTGAAGTCCTGGGCAGGAAGAAAACATTCAGGAGGCGGGCTCTTCCCTGATTTACTCGTTATAAGAGAGAGGAGGTAAAGCACAATCAGGATTGCAAAATTCTGTTGCTGTATCTTAATAAAGGAAGTTGGTTTCTTGATCTAATGTACATCATTACATCCTGGTAAAAAAAAACCTTTCCCCTAGTTTCCCCTATCGGATAGCTGATTTTTTTCATATCTGCTTGCTGTTCAAGAGTGATTCTCTAAGAAAATACTGTTTTATCAAAGCAGCAGAGATTCAATAACATACTTCATTACAGCTTCCACCTCAGTTGTGTTTTGCTGCACTATATGGGCTTATTCTGAGTTGAATAGCTCCATAAAGCAGGCTTCCATTTGTCAAAGCTCACACTCTCAGGTTTGATCCTGAATTAAATTTACTCAGTGATTCTGTAACTATTTTATTTTTATTTTTTAAAAAACTAAAACATAAAACAGAGGACATCTAATCATTTCTAAATTAATATTTCTCTTCTTTAACATCTGCATATTCATTATCCCAAAATTGAACACCCCCCCCCCCCCCAAAAAAAAAAAAAAGGCTAATACTATTCATCCCTTACCATCACTGGTGATAATATGTTAGGCTGTGCTGGAAAATGGCAGCAGATTATTTGCAGAATTAACAGTCCATGAATCATTCTTATATTGCTGTTTACTAGTTCATCTAATCCAGTCATTGTTAGATAGTACAGTACATAGTACCAAGGGAAGATCCTTCACAACAAGGATCTTATTGTGAGAGACGCAACAATTTGAAATATTATGAACTGACCTGCTCCATGTAAGACACGTGTTTTATACTAAGTATTGATTTTTCCCACTTTAAAATCTAGGCTTAAAATAAAAGGTTTAGACTCTAGAGGAACTTTTATTGCATTAAGCCAATTTATGAAATATGGAAAATCTTGATGGTGAATTTATGGGTTTGATGGGATAGCTAGATCATAATGTGGAAGACCAAATTCAAAATCAATTTAAGAGGAAAACAAATTATTTGGCTGGGCTTAATAATCCGTTCAGTACCCCAAAGAGATGTTCATCTTCAATTTTTAACTAGCCAAATTATTCTTGTAAGACAGACAGGTATCATATCTCTCCTTGAAAGAAGCTTCTTGAAAAGTTCAAGAAAACAAAATATTATATTTACGTATGCATTTTCAGAAGTAATTTAGGAGTGAAAATATTTTACTGGCCAAAGCACTCAGGGAAATTTTGAGATCTAGAAAACATTCAAAAAGAAAAGTGTTGAAGCTTCAAGACTTGGCACATGCATGCTTGGGTTACAAATGCCCCAGAATTGTTAAAATTGCGCTCAGAAGGAAGTAAGTCTTGAACTTAAGTGGTGCCTTGAATCTTCTCCAAAACACGTACTTGGCTGATTGTAAAAGAACCACAGAGCTACCATTGTCCACATATTTAAAGGTGAAAAAAAAAACATTAAAATCATCTTGTATTGTTTAAGGAGAATGTCTCAAAGAACACATGAATAAATACATAAATGGAAAAAAAATCCAGACTGATATAAGAATGACTCTGGGTTACTGTAAATAAAGCTCAGATGAAATGTATACCACAGATTATAAAAAAGGAAGATGGGAACATAGTGTGATTAACAAGCAAATTAAAAATAAATCTCGGAGGACAGCCTTTTTTCAGAGAACAGGATCCAGTTTTAGTCACCCTTGAACAGACCTATTGAAATCAGTGGAATTTTACTGACTGACTTTTCAATAGGTCTGTGCCTTGTTGGAATGAATCCTACATTCCTTTTAATGCAGGCGTAACATTAACAGTTAGAAAAGAAAACATTTGTGAAACAACCGAAAAAATATCTTTACACAACAGGAAAAACTAACATTGAATAATAACAGCTTGAAAAGGAAGGACAAATGATCATGCCAATCCTGAGAGACCAGCAAGTCATACCGGTGTGGCTTAATAAATAAAGCAGCAGTGATGATGTGGACAAAACAAAATAAGTTCACAGGACCCCAATTGCTAAGATTCAGGTTCATCACATTCTTGAGATTCTACTGCCACCCCGACATGTGCATGTCTGATAGTGCGGCCATGAAGTTTGTAACCATCCACAGTCACTAAAGCCACAGTGCCCGGTTGCATATCTTCTGCCGGCACATGACAAACAATTTCGTGGTCATAGGGGTCATATCTGCCACCAATGGGGTTCATTTTTTGCAGACCGTGCTTGGTAAAGACGCTCTGTAGTTTGACTTCTATAAGAGTCAGGCCTTCACAGATCTTATTCAGGGTCAGAGTTGGGTCATCATCATCATCTACAACAATCTCCAAAGTTGTCTTCAGGATATCTGCTACTTCTACCAGATCTCTACAAAAGCTCTGGATGCCTGCAGGCACAAAGATTGGCAAAAAAAATCAGGATGATAATATTTCAGGAGGATAAAAACATTTTGGGATCTTGGATTATCTAAAGTAGAAGGACTTCCTGAGCCTGGGCCTCAGGGACAACAGTATTTACACTGATTTGGTTTGATGCTTCCACCAAATTGTACCATCCAGATATTATATACGTTTGCATCACTAGAATATATTTCTTTTAACCTGTAAAAAAACTGTTCAGTCATAGCAACTATCTTCTTTTGAGGTCTCATTCTATTTTCATCTTCAGGTCACTAATGAGTTAACCCAATTATTTTATACTTCGTTTTATTTACTAATACGGAGCAATAAAATTGTGTTTCATAGGCTATTACTGACTTTGATCCCCAAATGATCAATTATTACATTTTTAACCTGCCTTTCATTCAGGCACGCGGGACTGCGAACACACCACTCTCTTCTATTTTTCTAGTACCAATAGGTGGCTTTGGCTGCAAGAGGGTAAGTGGCCCTAAGTTACCCAACAGGCTCCCACAGCTGACAGGAAATTTTAATGTAGGCCTCTATACTTCTACTCCAATACCTTAACCACTACATTTCATTGAGATGTTTTCACTACAGCTTTAATTTTTATCAATTAAGTTGCTTTGCTGTGTGTTTTGTTTTTGTTCACTTGACACTGTTGTTCACTGTAAACTGTTGTGTAATAAATATTATGAGTCACCTTAACTTTAAGGATGGATTATCTAAACTAGTGGTATCTTTTTTCAGGCTCACACAGAACTTAAAACATTGCTGGACTCCTTTAATGAAGAGAAGAGGTGCTGGACTCATATGAGATGCAAAACGTTTCTTAGGAATCATTTTCAATGTGTGTAGTCATAAGAAATACCACTGGAGATATACAGGTAGCACTGCAACAAACTCTGGCACAACATTGGCCTGTTTGTTTACTTACCAAAAATCTTAGCATCCTCAACAAATTTTTGTGTTCTACGCCTGACATTTTCAGAATCCATTAGGGCTCTTTGGTATCGTTCCTACATGCAGAGAAGAAGCAGAGTCAGATTAAAGAATTTTAATCCAAGTAACAGGGTTAGAGGATTTCCGTATCACTGCAAATATTTAATACAGGTTGGAGAGACAACATACTCAGACAATAGAGTTATTTACTGAAAAAAATAGACTGATGTAGAAGCCACATTAGTAAATATTATCTTGATATCAATCTCCACTTCTCCAGGAGGGATGCATTTACAAGATTGACATTTACAAGATTGGCATTTACATGCTTGACAGTTTAATTCCCAGATAGGGAAACCATGGCCTGGGATTAAAAAGGATCCTTCTGATGAGGACAGGTGCTTATTTTACCATGTAACAAAATATATTCCCCACAATCCTTTCTCTAGGTTTCCCCCCATAACTGTTCCTTCTCCAGGCTTTAGTTCTTTTAAAAGCTGTAGGTAGGAAATAGCTGAGTATTGTAGCTAAAATAAAGCAAACACCTCTAAAGGCTTTAAACAATCTGCAAGAAGTTGAAAAAAAATCCAGATAAGCAAGAAGGGAACTTTAGCTTCAAGCATAAGCTTGTCTTAGGAAGCAAGCAACAGATTCAGCTAGAAATTCTGCATAAAATGAATTATTTTGATTGGATATATTTTTTTAATATAATTTACTTTCTCTGGTGTTTTTTTCCCCTTTGCACAAGTTCAGTAATTCTGTGTTGTTTGCAATTTGGACTCTCCTTGTAGCAATTAGCTCTAAATAGGAGAATAGCATTACCTTTGCTATAAAGTTCCTCCTAAGTTGCTACCTGAGATTTGATCTTCCTTCCTTCCTTCCTTCCCTTCTTCATTTACCATTGAATGCTTCCTTCTGACTATCTAAAGAGACTTTCCTTCTCTTTTTTTTTCGTTTCACAGCAAGGCTTAATTTTTATTTAACACTTAGAAGATTTCCTAAAACAAAGGACAGAGAAGGAACAGTTCACTTGACCCCCATGCCTCAATACTCTAGAGGCAGCCAGTGGTGATACAGAAATTCTTTATTTTTTTCCTTTGCCAGTAAAATAATACAGGTTGTGGGGTCATTATCTTTCTGGCAAGTTGGGGATGGTGTGTGTGTGTGTGGTCCTAGAGGAATCACTCCCTGGAAGATAGGTGGTGGCAGCAAGAACCACCAACCACAATACTAAGGTCAAATTGGGCTTTGGTGTATAGAACTGAAGGGAGTTTGGAAGAAGTAGTTGAAACTTGTTTTTAATCTATACTATCTCGTACCACCATAATCATAAACAAGAAATAGGTAAACATGACCTTTTCAGAGACCCTTTTCACTGGCCCTTGAAGTAAAATAAATTAAATTTCTGAATTTTAATGTTTAATACAATAAATATATAAACAATAAAAAGTTAAAATAATAAAATAAAATAATAATCCTAAAAGGCAGCTTCTTCCTCATGCCAAGAAACTTCCTTGGAAGTATCGTGTAAGCATCCAGGAGTCAAGCTAGACTCAAAGGAAACTTTACACTCTGCCTATCTCTTCCTCACTTACTGCCCAATAACAACAGTTGAACTTACCATGGAGTAAGTCACTGGAAGATGGCCAGGACAAGAAAAGGTTAACTCTGCTTCTTCTAGCTAGAAGCTGGATTTAAGACTTCTTCTTGTCCCATGAAGGAAATTCCTTCCCTTCAGTCACATGTATTGACTTCTGCTGAGTATCGTTCAATTCTTCCTATATTGTATATTCCACTACAACAAAATCGTTAAGACACATAGAGATGGAAGATTAATGTGTAACTGTTGGTGAAAGATGAGTAGCTCGTATCCCAACCCTGCTTGGGATCTTCTATTCTATATAGGGTGGGATTGTCAGTTCCATCTTCCAGTGACCATCAGAAAAAACTCAACTACTATTCTTGCTCACTGGAGACACAGTTCACAGGAAAAGAACATATTGCAGCAGTATTCCCATTTACAACTGATACCATCAAATAAGTTGAATTTATTTATTTTATAGCGTCTTATAAAGTTCCACTAGTTCCACCTGGATAGCTGGGTCTCTTACAGAATTGCCATGAAGGAAGGAAGGCTGTCTCTTGCTGGCTATATGCGCCGCGGCAATGCGTTTTCCAACTTGAATGCCAAATGTAGAGTAACAAATTTTGTAGGTGATAAAAGTATTAGTATTTTTGTTCTCCAAAGGTAAGATTCTTAAGAGCCCTGCACCTATTTATTCAGAATCAGGTTTGTTTTATAGGCTTGGCTGGATATGGACTGATGTTGAGAAGCACAATCTCTAATGCATAATGGAATCTGGAGCTGATCTTCAGAATGATGGAAAGATCTAGTCACAGAATTACTTGGTCATGAAACACATGTATAACCAACCTGCGAATAAGAGAGAAAAAGCCATCTTCCAAATAAGCAGTGCCCTTTGCTCATCAAAAACCAACCAACAAGTACTTTAAGCAGATGCCTGTCTGTGCAGCATAGCTCTCCCTCTCCAATCTGTAGGAAACCCAATATTTCAAGAACTTTTGTTTACATGTCACAAGTTTCTATTTTTTGTATTACTATTCTTGGACCAGGTTATCTAGTGATCGAGATGGTTTTACCACAAATATGGAAGGTCCATGTTCAGCAACTGACCTTATTTACCTTCCAGGCACAAGGTTGAAGCTACTCTGGACCAGTAGCTTAAAATATCCAGATGTTCTAAAAGGTACCACTGGTGTTCCTCTAATCTCCACCAAGTCCTAAAGCTAGGGTCTCTAGTGCCAAGGTTGTTAGAGTCAACTGTGCTTTGGTTAACTTCCTTTGCACATCATCTTGTATAGCAAAATGAAAGCAGGAGTACAAAGAGTCATCCTTTCAGTCATGATCCCATCAGGATGCATTAGTACTCTCTGCTGCCTTATTGGGCTATAACCTTACCAATACGATGGGTTCTGTTGCCATAAATCTGACTACGACTATAGACAATCTTGAGAGATATCTGTCATCAGGTGGGGAACCACAGAGATGACCTTGAAGAAACTATTCAGAGCCAGAGCATTTTAGGAAGAGACTCAAACTGATTCCTCCCTAATTCCCTCTAGTATCATAGGGAAAACAAGTCTGACTTGCCAGTTTCTGTTATAATGGCTTATTTCAATAAAATACAGTTCTAATCATTTTGTGAGTCTGTTTTTGATCTAGTCACTTTAAGGGGCTATCACATCATTAGGTTTTTCTATTGTATCCAATATATTACACTTGCATATTTATGATAACATCAAATGTTCATATAATTGAAGCTTGGTCAAGGATGGAAGAGACAGCTGCTGTCCAAATTCCCAGGCTGCTCCATGGTCATTAGGGCCAATAAAACTATTTCCTTCTTTTTTCAGTATCATTAATTCAGACATTTAAGACTGCTATCATCAAGGTTCCCCATGCAGAAGATGTAAATTTGTTAACTATTCTTTCTTCTTGGATCTCTTAGTATCCTTCATCTTTCCCACTGGCATCCTGGTAAAGTAAAATAGATATCAAGTGGATTCATTCTCATGTGTCATGAGAAGCCAGATGTAGCCAAATTGGTCTTTGGCTCTTTTATTTGGAACAATGTACTTCTAAATTATCTTCAATTTCAGTTGCAATTTGATAGATGCAGCACTGTTAAGCTTTAGTCCAGAGGTTTCCAAACTTGGCAATTTTAAGACTTGTGGACTTCAACTTCAATTCTGGGAGATGAGTCCACAAGTCATAAAGTTGCCAAGTTTGGGGATTCCTGCTTTAATCAATGACAAATACTCTATATGATCCTATAGATTAAACATATATTTTATTTAAGTTAAAGGGCTGAAACTTTAAGAAAATGCACAGAAATTTAGAAGTGTGGATCCCTTATTCTGGATGTCAAACTAAAAAAAGTTACTCACTGTTAAGACACGGAGTTGTTCTTCTAGCTTGATGGTCTTGTGCTCCAAATTTTCTCCCCTTAGGATCTGTCTAGGTTCATTCTGAGGATCTTCTGGGCCACAATCATCCCCCGTGCTCTTTTGTTGTGCAGCAGTACTGAAGGCAAAGAGCAAACCTCTGAAACAACAAAGGCCAAAAATGTAGAGAAGTATATATTTTCAAAAAGCCTTTCCATTTCAAATTTATTTTAAAAAATAAAGATTCACTTATTAACTGAGGTAGCTAGAAAGCTTTTCATTTGTATCAAGGAATCTAGCTGTAGCATTGTACTATAACTTAAGGGTATTTTTGTTCACTTTTTTTTGCAAAACGAAAAAGGATTGATTCAGATGTTGCTGATTTACCGGTTGGACTCTATGATTATCATGGGCATAAGACATTATCTACTATGATAGTTTTTTCACCCTGTCTAGCACCTTCAAGACATAGGCACAAAATGTAAGAAAACAACTGCCTGACAAGGAAGGAGAGAGTCCTACACTCCTTATGATTTACAACACAAGGAAATATTTACAATTACACTGTGAGCTAACGATGTGTATATGATCAACAAAATGGAAACAGAGCAGGCATCTATTTTCTATGCTTATTAGAATTTTAGAAATGTAAATGTCTTGTTCTACAAAGGATTCTATCAACATCCCATGTAATGTAACAGACAATGATGTACTTTATTGTTCAGGAGAGGTGATTTCACTCAGCTGAGTAATTGCAGCAAATTTAGAGATACCAATTTTCTGAGAAGATAGAATTCAATATACAAAACCTGAGTGAACAAAAAGATATTACTTCATTTTCAACAAGGAAAACTCAGTTTTGCCACTGTTTCTTTGTGTAGCAGTTATGAAAAGATTCTGAATCCACATTTAAAGCTGCAGCAACGTGGGAATCTTTATGGCAAATAGTCACACAGGCGTTTAATTAAATGTGCTGTTATTTGGAATTCTAATTTGTTTACCAATGATCTTTTGAATGCTTAGATATTGCCTAAACCAGGGGTCTTCAAACTTGACAGCTTTAAGACTTGTGGACTTCAACTCCCAGAATTCCTCTTCCAGTCATGTTAGCTCAGGAATCTGACAGTTGAAGTCCACAAGTCTTAAACTTGCCAAGTTTAAAGACCCTTGGCCTAAACTCACATTTAATTTTAATCAATTCAGTTAATAATTGAGAGGGGCAACTGATTTTTATTAAAGACAAGTTATGCTAATAATTCGGGCAATAAGGATGGCAGCAAGTGAGCTTGTGAAGCTAAACATTAATAAATAAGAATGTACTGTAATGTGGAATATAATTCAGACTTCCAGGCAATCTCTTCCAGCACACAAAATCCTTAGCTTTTAGGATTTTGTTAATTTTATCTCCTCTCCAGCCAGTTTTTAAGGGGAAAGACAATTTCTCAAAAACAAAAATGCAAAAAAAAAGGTTAGTTTAGTATAGGGGTGTCCACTCCGCAGCCCATGGGCTGCATGTGGTCCTGGACAGCTAGTAACGCAACTGCACAAGATCATAAACTTTAACATGATATGCAGCCCAAGACAATTCATCTTCATTCAATGCGGCCCAGGCAAGCCAAAAGGTTGGACATGCATCTGCTTGGTAGAAGGTGAGTCTATAATAAATTGCAATATTTGAGTATCAGGAAACCATCGAGTTGATTATATCTGGATTTGGGAATTTAACTAGGGTTGGAGCTTGGTTAGTACCTAGACCACCAGGGAATATTTTGCTTTTTAATTTTTTTCTGCTTTTTCCAGAAGGCAAATTTTAAATCAACAAAATTTGAAGTCTTACCTGCCAAATTAATAGCAGGTAAGTAGGATTCCTGATCCTTTGAATAATCTCCATTCTTAGCACAAAGGCCCCCTTCAGCTGTCTCAATTGAAGGTAGAAAGGCTGGAGAAGGACAGCTCAGGACTGTGCACGCAGCCACATTTCTTCTTCACAGGTTCAGGCAAACACCTGAATGAGGCTTAGATTAGTGAGGCAGCCAGCCACTCAGAGGACATAAGCTTAAAATAAGTTCACAAACATTCAGAACAGCTCATAAATCTCCTCTCTAAAACAAGCTGCCCTTTAAATGCTTACATTTTCTCACTGGTTGTTTATATCTGAACATAACTGCACATGCTGTTTATTGCGTGACAGTGAGTTTGAATGAGCCTTTGCCAAAAGCTTACTTCAAGCAAATCACTGTCTAGACATGCACTCTCTTTTACCAGATCAGTAAATGTGCAACACATACCCCTTAATTTATAACACTTCCTGCTATTTCAAGTTAGCAACCTTCGGTCTTTAGGGCCAGATCCTAAAAATACTTTATATGTAAAAGAGCTGTCCTTTGTCTTTACCTGGTCAACCTAGAAAAACCTGTCTAAATGTTGAAATATTCAAATTGCATTACTTATTTGTGGCCTTGGGTGTGAACCATAGTCACAAGAAAAGAAGGAAGAAGGGCAAGGGACTTGCCTCAATGACAACAGCTGGAGAACCACTTTTTTTCAACTGAGTCTGAGGAATTATTTTGTCAGAGTAACAAATCAGATAATTCCAAAACACTAAATCACAGTGAGCACTCTTGTGTTTTTAATTACTATACCACTTCCAATTCTAGAATAGATTCCTGTACAGTGCTCTCTGTGAGGCTATCTTTGAAAACAATACAAAAGCTTTCATTGATTCAATACAGCTGTTCTGTCTGGATGCTTCTAATTATTAGCAACCCATTTAGTTTAGGGTTTTCGATAAAGGATGGCAAATTTTTGAACTTCTGAATTTTAAAAATCCAAGTTTAAAATCTAAACAGTGGATTCCTTCTTTATGAACCTGTCCCAAGAATTTTCTTTGGTTCTAGAAGTCCTGCTTTAGGCATTCTGCCATCAGACATACAGTGGGGATGAGTAAGTGAAAGAAAACTTTTTAACTTGATCAATAGTCATCTCCAAGAGATAGTATACTTGATACCCTGGGGTGAACATCCTCAGAGTAACATTGAAGTGGAACAACATACCCTCAGAATGATGTTGAAATCTAACTTGCTGGGGAATGCCTATGTCTTTTGTAATATATATGTTTGTACAGTTGACATAACTATCACATGCTGGGTGTTTGCCGATCCTTTACTAAGTTCAAAAGGAAGTTCAATGTTTAACTTTAGAATTTGCTGTGAAATCATTTACTTACATACAGGATAAGGAGTTTGCTTTTTTTGCTACTTTGGTTTATTCATCTGTGGGTCCGTAACACAGAGAACAGAACTTTTGTGAAGTTTTTGTTTCTCAAATATGAATAGCCTGCTATCTCACAAACCACAACTCTAGGCAGCATACAACAATCAGACAACATATAGAAACAAAAAAAATATAAAATCTAGATTAAAAAGTATCATAAAAAGAAAAAACACTACTCAAAGAGAGGATAAAAAGAGTCTCTTAGCAATGGAATCACCTAAACATATTTCCAAGTCCCTGGTAGCCCCAGATCTGGTGACATAAGGTCTGGTCCATTCTTGAGGGATTTCTGGAATGTCAAAAGGAATAGACCCAATCTAATTTTGGGGGAGAGGGAAGAATATTCCATATGGCAAGAATCATGGCAAGAATGCACATATAAATATACTATGTGTATACATACAATTCATGGGATTTTCTCCACTTGTAATTAACAATGACACAAACATGTCCCCACATCTTTTTTTCTGCCATGGCTCCATGATCTTGCCTTTACCATTCTAGTGCTCGGTCCATAAGCTAGATAGGCCTTATTCATCCTTAGCAGCATGCTCATCTTATTTTGACATCATTTAAAGACATCAAAATGTTTAAAATCTGCTAAGTTTTATGTATGGAGGGAACTCAGGTGAAACAGAGGGAATAGAGGCAGGAAAAGGATCAGCAAATTTTATGGCAATATGATACTGTTGTAGATAATTGGATGGCACTATAACTCAGTACTCAAAAGCCCCTAAAATGTGTTTCATTTGTAAATTATGCTCTACATTAATATGCATAGCTTGTTTGCCAATAGTAGTTGGTATTGCAGAAAACGGAGTTGCTGGAAAATATATAGTGTCTCAACCTACCTGAACAAACTCAACTATTCCAAAGAATTAAGCCCAATGATTGGAACTTTTAAAAAATCATGTTGATCATCAGCAGTATTTTAAAGGTTTTGATTATGAGTTTGGGTTTCAAAGCTGTTTGAGAGAGATCTACTGTTTCCAGCCTGAGTCCTGACATTCAAGCCCCACCCTGTCCATGTTATCTAAAGATTAAATCATGGCACCTGGACCAAACTTTGTTAATCTGAGATGTTTTGCTGCTCATCCAAGCAACTTCACTAGTTAAAGCAAAATTAGTTAGGCAGAATTTGCTTTGACCGATGAAGTTGCTTGGATGAGCAACGAAACATCTGAGATATAAAACATCTCAGATTAACAAAGTTTAGTCCAGTTGCTATGATTCAACCTTTAGATACCTTTGGCCTGGATGATTGAGTCTTCGTTGACATTTTGTCCATGTTATTCTAATGTTAGTACTTAGAAATCAAGTGTCATTTTAAATATTTATGTTGAACAATTTTAATTTATACAATTAAAGAGATACCACAGACTGGAATAGCAACAAAAGCTTAGTCTCTTACAAGCTCATATCTTAATATAACAAGTTTCAACCCATTTGTTATATTTTAATATTGTGTTTGGTTTGCAAGTTGCTCAGAAAACTTGGAAGCAGCTGTACAACTCTATTACTGTAACAGAAATGTGGTAGAGAAACTCCAGCCTTCTCTTCTCCTCCCCCAAATCAACCACCTCACCCAAATATCTTCTGCAGGGATTTCTCCTGCTTTCAAGGCAGCGTGAAAATTGTTTTTTTTTTTTTTTTGGGGGGGGGGGGGGCTGTAAAATATTACCTCATTTAAAAGCGTGCAGGTAGAAACAAGCCTGTGCTGAGAGAGAAGTTAAAGAGAAAGAAAGGTGAAAAGGCCAGGCGGGGTGGGAAAGTGATGTCAGATACGTTCACTTCTTCTGGCTCGGATACTGCAGGGAGTCACGCGAAACCACTGTCGCCCCCCACGCTTCCTTCCCCACCCCAACCCTGACCAAAAATGGCTCTTTCACCCGATTGGAAAGAAGGGCGGAACGCGGCCTTTCTCTTTCACGGCTGATCTTCGCATCCATCTTAAGAAAGGCCGCCTTAGGGGGCTCCAAGCAGCATTTCAGCGCCGCCCAAACCACCGCCAAGTCCAGCAAGCCTGCCTGCATATCCACCCCCCCTCTCCCTTTCTCTGCGGAGGAGAGGAGGAAAGTCACAAGTGAGCCCAAATTCTTGGGAAGGTACCGCTTGGCAAAAGATGCACCCGGGAACCAGGACTGCCTCCACTTAGCTGCTTAAGGCTGGATGCCATTCCTGAGCACAGGCGAGCCAACCACAGCGAGGGAATCTGGGAGACAGCAGAAGGAGGGAGGGAGGGAGGCGGCAGCCGCGACTCCCGCATCGCCTCGTGTTTCTCCGAGAGCCACAAGGGGCACCGAAAGGGAAACGGTTTAAATGGAAACCTCCTCCCAAGGAGCTTCGCTTTGGAAGACCCTCTCTGCAAACAGAGACCAGGCAAAATAGAGCTGCACGCCGCCCCTTCCAACCTCAAGAAAGGGGACCGCGCGTTGGAGATGAGCCGCCGGCAAGAAAAAAAGCGACTAGCCCGTTGGTCCCGCGGCGACGGAGGAGAACCAGCCCGAAAGCCCCAAGGACGATGGATAAAAGAGCGACTGGCTCTACCTGTTGGAATGGAACCGAGGGTAATTCAAGTGAAGCAAAGGGCTGAAGCAACTCCGCGCCGCTCGCACAGACCTGCCCGCTGCCATAACCGTCGCCACCAGCCTGACTGAGCGAAACGGACCCGCGGCTTCCCAGGCGGTCACGGGAGAAAAGCAAAACCCTCGGCCGACTACAACAACCGGCAGCCACTGCGCGCTCGATTAAAGCCCGGACTGAGGCTCCCGCCAGGCCTCGCGTGCTACGAGAACGCTCTGCCCTTAAAAGGGCGGGAACTTCGTTGGGAAGGAGGGAATTTTATTAGGCCGAAGGAGGAGGTTAGCTGTAAGATGTTAGCAGGCAGAAATATTACTGGGTATGTTTCATCTTCCAGCCCAAGCACGGGCGTCTTCCAGCTGGATCGGTTGTAATACTTCCCTTGTTCCGCCATCGTTGTAGCTCATTGTGAATTGTTCTTATTCTGCGAACCCTTTTCGGCTCCCTTCGTTTTTGAAACACCCTAAAAATTGTTTCTTGCGCCAATAATTAATATGTCAATTATAGGTTGTCGAAGAAATTAACATTTAAGGGCACACTTTTTAGGAGGAGGAAGTGATTATGCCTCGCAGTCATAAGACTCAGCGGAGCTGAATCAACTACCCGGTTTCAGCAAGTTCCGCTGTTGCGGGTGTGCGTCCGTTTTTTCTCGGCTCTGACTGTCCTCTGTGACTTACGACTAATACTTGAAGTGCAAAAATTCCGACGATCTTAGGATGGCAATCGGGTTTCTCTGTTGCCATTTGGAAGTATTGCAGCCCAGATGCAATAGGCTTAGTTTACACTAGAGCTACTGTTGTAATGGTTGACCCATTAGATCCAACTTCAGTTCTTTGTGATTTCAGATCTCACTGAATATCTAAACTATCTCATCTTTCTATCTATCTATCTATCTATCTATCTATCTATCTATCTATCTATCTATCTAT